GCAGCTGATGACGAACTTGATGTCAATATTTCGATCTCTTTTATGGGGAAGATTCTAGAACCTGTTGATTTTGCCAAAGATCTAGGACTTCTAATGGACAGTCACCTAAGTTACGATAAGCACATATCGAATCTAGTGTCGTCCTGCCTTTATAAACTGTGCCAGATAAACAGAGGTAAAAATAATTTTGACAAGGGAACACTTACAATGATAATCACTTCATTAGTGATCAGTAAACTGCTCTACTGTTCCACTGTATGGTCAAATACAACATGCACTAATATAAAGAAACTTCAATCTATTCAAAACTTTGCATGTAAAATAATTACAGGATCCAAGAAATACGATCATGTAAGCCCATTACTCCAAAATCTTGAGTGGCTCACAGTTGACAAATTACTCTATTTCCGTGATGCCGTAATGACTTTTAAATGCATGAACAACTTAGCGCCGAAATATCTTTGTGACATGTTTGAGAAACGATCTTGTATTCATAATCGGTCTACGCGGAACTGCAACTCAATACAGATACCATTGTTTAAAACAGCGTCAGGGCAACGGTCATTTGCTTTTAGAGGAGCTTCAATTTGGAATAACTTAGACACTGAGCTAAAGAAATGTACATCACTTAAGACATTTAAAAGTCAACTTAAAGAACACTTACTGTCTACTTAGTCTATAGACTACTTCCTATTTTAGACTATTAAAAACTTAGATATCAGTCATTTTTATTCCTAACTTTGTAGAAACTGTAAATATTTTAAAATTGTAGTTTTATAAAATAATTTTGTAAATGGGTTCTGAAAAACCCTTTTGGGAGAAACCATTAATTTTAATAATAATAATAATAATAATAATGTTTGAGATGAAGACTGAACGAATGATTTTTCATGGCACTGCCCAATAAGTTGATCACTTTCTCACTGGCTATCTGCGGTCTTGTAAACTGAAATAAACAACGCGAACATGCTACGTTACTGCTCACACTTCACGCAGTACGAGGAAAGCTTTTTGACTTAACCACGGGGCTTTCCAAATCAGAGAACTCGCTTTCCGAAATTTTACGAGCTTTGGCTCGGGGCAGATACATTACGCGACATGCATTATCTTCGTGGGTATCACTCGAGAAACTCGCGCGAGGAGGACGCGAGTTTCGTCGTTTCCTCGCGTGTGACAAAGTCTCAAGTCCCTCGCGCAGGTCGCGATTTTCTCTCGCTAGTTTTAACATCTCCTTCTCGAGTGCGGCCTTTGTTCTCGTCAGTTCCTCGCATTTCTGTCGCTCTTCTGTCGCCATATCCGTTGCTATGGAGATAGTACGGCGTAGATCGCATCTAATCGATTCACTCTCTTGTAATCTTTCCTCCAGTACACGAGTGTGATGACCAAGATCTTTTAATTCCTTGCTTAGCTGTTCAACCGTTTGCACTGAATTTTGGCGAGGACAAGTGTTTAGATTTGGAAAAATAAGAAAATCAGTTTGGTACAATTAGTCTAGTCTTCGCATCTTGTCTGCAGACAAGCTGACTTTGTCCCATGCATGAGTTGAGCGATAAGAGTTTGGGTTGTATTATATATTACTGCAATATACCGTTGTCTAATTAGACAAGAAGAGAACCTCGAGTTTGACACTAGCTAGGGAGAACAATTTAGAACTGAAAAAGCTATCCAGTATAAATAAAGTTACAGTAGTTTAGTTTAGGTTTCCCCCTGTAGTAACACTGGATCAATAAGAGATGATTCTTACTGGACCTCTAAAAAGAACAGTTTAGAACTGATAGAGCTACATGATTCCAGTATAAATAAAGTTAGTTTAGTTTAGGTTTCCTCTTGTAGTAACACTGGATCAATAAGAGATAATCCTTAATTGATTTTTAGGAAGGACAGTTTAGAACTGAAATAGCTATCCAGTATATATATAAAGTTAGTTTACTTTGGGTTCCCTCCTGTAGTAACACTGGATCGATCAATGATCTTTACTTGATCTCTAGGAAGAACAGTTTAGAACTGAAAGAACTATCCAGCATGAATAAAGTACTCACCGTGAACATTGCTGTCATCATCTTTCTCCACCTTACTCCTAGCACTCCCCTTCTGATCCAAGGCTGTTCGTAGCTTGTCAAGATCGCGTTGCAAGAACCCCAACATTCCATAAACATCCTCTCTGCTCATATTCACTTGTACCTCTTCGTCCCTGGAGGGTGTCTTTACGAGCGGATTGTGTATCTTTTTCACCCAATCAGTACCTAATGATCCACTAGCGGAATCACTGACCGCAGAATCCTTCATGGATGGCCGTTGGACTGAATCAATCAGGTCAGTATTGTTATCGTCGCCAACTTTGGTGACGTCATCGACCATGACGTCACTAATATTAATGATGTCACTCTCGTTAACTTTATCATTCAGAGTAAAGTTGGGATCAGATTTTAGCCTAACTATACTGGAGAGCAACGATTTCTTTTTCTCGTGCAAACGGTAAATTTCCATCTCAAGTTCTGAGATTCGTTCTTCATGTCTTGCGCAGCTGGGGTCCGTCTTTAGGTTATCTTCTCCAAAAACTCCTAGATCTATTTGCTTCGACTTTTTCGTCGAGACGTTGTATTTCATCTTTGAGTTTTAAAATCTTGTCTTCTTGTCCATTGTTGTTTTCGTGTTCACGTTCGTCGTCGAGAACGTTACGGATGCGTTGTAACGTTTCAAATAAACAGGCGTTCTCTTGTTCCACCTCACGTAAATTCGCCTCGCGCACGGTCACTGCCGAGCTATCACTTTCAGGGCAGTTTTCACGGGAGGTCCACTGGCTGGTCAGTGTTTGCATACCCAACAACAATACGCGTTTTTCTTCGGTAAGTTGAAAGACTTTCTCCTCAAGGCTTTGCAAGGCCTCACCACTAAGATTCTGAGAATTATCTCCATCATTAGAATTGTTGTTATCATTCTGAGATTTTTCACCAGAAATTTCAGAGTTTCCAGCTACGGTGTTCTGGTTCATATTATCGGAAAAACCATCAGCATTTCTTGAAATATCTTCGCCGTTTTTAGAATTTTCTAAATACAAGGAAACATCGAGTGAGTTCGCAGTAACGTCGGCAGCGTTCTCGCTACTTCTTGAGGACGACCGCTGAGCAACTTGAAACGCAGGCAGGTTTTGAAGCAAAGTATTCAGCTCTTCATGAAGGCGCCGGACCTGTAAGTGAAAGATTTAAAAACAATATGGTTATAAACGCCTATACAGCCAAAAGCGCCTCAGACTTGCTGCAAGTTGTGGATTTTACCGGCCTGATGCAAGTTGCCAACAAGTTGTATCGAGCCTGTTGACTTCATCAAGTTGCATCAGGTCTGTAAACATCAGACTTGCTGCAACTTGATATATGCAGACTTACTGCAACCTGATGAAACAACTTACATCAAGCCTGCATGCAGTTCGCAATTTGCAGCAAGTCTGTTAACAACTTGCAACAGACTTGTTATCATCAAGCCGGAGCGAGCGACCCTAACGCATCCTGATATCGGCTTGATGATAGCAGACTTGCTGCAACTTGCGCGTTTTTGGCTGTGTAGGTAGCGAGTAGATGTTTTGTTGCTTGTTGATGTTGTTATCCGCTATCTACACTGGCCACGTATTGAAGTTTGTACAGGCACTATGAGTACCTCTAAAGCGGTGGCTATTATGCCGTTTGAGAAAGGCTAATAAATACATTGGTTACCTCTACCTCGAGGTCGTGGTTTCGTTTAGTGAGCGCCATAACTTCAGAACGCGACGTCTTAGACTGGGCAAGTTCGTCTTTTATGGCCGCCATCTTAGTTTCATATTTATTCTGGAGTTGTGCCTTCAAGATATCACCACGATACGAGAGAACATATTTCAAATACTTTGCCTCTTCTTCCATATCCTCGTGTCCGGCTCGGAGCTCGGAATTTGTCGCCTCGAGCTCGTGAATGCGCTGTCCACAGTCCTCTAGTTTCTTGCATAGTTTCTGAATGCAGTCAAGCTTCCCGACTCCGTGATCCATCGACAATGTTCGCTCAAGCTTTCGGATCTTCTTCGTGACTCGCGACCTTTTCCGATCACGAACTGTTTCATTCTCGACTTTCTCCTCCGCATCATTGCCAGACATATCTGTTTTCCAGTCCTTGGGAACCTCTCCGCCAGCTTGAAACTCTTGGATCATCGCGAAACGCGTTTCCAGCAAACCTTTCTTACGGTTTTCTAAATCTCGAATCTGATTGGCTAATTCGTCTATACACTGTTCGTTGGATTTGAGTTTCTTTTTGAACGCATCGAGGTCGTTTACATCTTCGGAATCTGTCGATGGCTCTTTGGCCTTTTGGAAAACGTCCTCGCCAGGAGTAACTTATTCCGAGGGTATAACATCACTTGGAGTATTCTCCGGGACTGTGTGGAGATTATTCCCCGGTAGCTTGGATCCTTTATCTCGCACTTGCTTAAACAAAATCTTTAAACTTTCTGCGAAGAACGAGCTCAAATTATTATGGTCGTTTTGTAACGCTTCTTTTTCGCTGCGAAGTGTTTGCACAACGTCTTTCATAGAATTTAAATGCGCAATTAATTCTTCAGAGTTTTTCTCCAAAGTTATGCCAGAATTCTGAACTGTTTGTTTCAGAACAGAATCGGGTTTTTCAAGATGCGATTCCTGACAAGCCCGTTCGACTTCTTGTAAATGACTGACCGCAATTTTTCTGCTATGTTCGGCGCTTTCGTACTCCGTGACAAGGATTGTATTTTGCGTGCCCAACTCGTTTAATTCGTGCTCACACGTCAACAACGTGAAATTCAAACGGTCGCGTTCTGACGCTAACGTTTCTTTCTCACGTCGTAAACCGAGGAGTCTTTCAATTTTTCACGGAAAGATAAAATTTGTTTTTTATTCTTGGAATTTTCGTGTTCCAATAGCGCGACCTTCTTCTCCAAATGTAGTAAATGTTTTTCTCTGTTCGTGATGTTTTCTTTTTGTTCGGCGATGGTTTTCTTCAATTCGGAGACTTCGCTAGTCTTTTTGTTCTCATCTGCTCTGTTGTAGATTTTTCGGTTTGAAGAAGTTTCAATTGTGTCGCTTGGTTTTGCCATAAATTTATATCCACCGAGCTCTCTAAGCACCATTGGTTTTTCTGCAAAAAGAATATTTATAAATAACTGATGGAACTGCTCAGTATAAAGTTAGTTCAGTTTGGATTTCCTCCTGCAGTAACACTGGACCAATAAGAGATGATCCTTATTGGACCTCTTGGAAAGAACAGTTTAGAACTGATAAAGCTACCCAGTATAAATAAAGTTAGTTCAGTTTGGGTTTCCTCCTGTAGTAACACTGGATCAATAAGAGATGATCCTCATTGGACCGCTAGGAAGAACAGTTTATAGCTGATAGAGTTACCCAGTATAAGTAAAGTTAGTTCAGTTTGGGTAATAATAAGAGATGATCCTTACTGGAACTCTATAGGAGAACAGTATAGAACTGATAGAGATATCAAATATAAATAAAGTTAGTTTAGTTAAGGTTTCCTTCTGTAGTAACACTGGATCCTTATTGGACTTCAAGAATGAACAATATAAAATTGAGAGAGCTATCCAGTATATGTGGTATAAATAAATCGAGTCTTACTTGAATTACTGTTCATTCGCAAATTACATGTGTTATGCTTTCACCTTGTGTAAAGCCTCTTAATTTCCCATTCAACACAAAAGCCAACTCGCAAGCTCGCAGGGAGTGCTTTCAAATATCGTGATTGGATGAAAGTTCTCGCAACGAGCTTGCGAATTGGGGTATGCGATGAGTGTAAAAGAACCTTAAATTAACAATCAAAAAAGCAGTTTAAAAAACATACCGCTTTTCCGTAGGTCCACTGTACTACGACATCTTGTTAGTCTTGGAGACACCACACTTGTCTTTTTCCTGGAAAAATAGTTTTGGTATTGTTTTTATCTAAGGCTAGTCACATTTTCTAAGGCCTCTCGTATATGCTGGTGTTTACAGTACATGGGATTAATGTGGCCTCGAACGTCAACAGCTCCTATCTGGATGAAATACTGCATGAAAACGAACGAAAGGATTACATAAAATATCAAATTCATTGAACTTCTCACCTGGGGCTCAAAACAGGCTCCGATAACTTCCTTTCCCTTTTAAATCATTCCTGCACAAAACCTACACTCACGAGCGGGGATAAATTATTGCCACCATGCAATTAAAGGGAAATGGCAACAAAAATTTAATTCGTCTCATTTGAAAGTGATCCAAAACCAATATATAAAAGTCTATTACAAAATTTTTTATACCTGTTTTACTTCGGAAAATATTCTCACCTAAATCAACGAGCTATCCGCCATCTTGGATTTTTTTTTAACCTCATTAACTATGTTTTGGTGACGCCACAACAGGCATAAGTCCTTCAAAGCTACTCCCAAATACGTACCAACGATCATATATTGTTTGAAACCTTTTCAGTCCGTCTTGAAATCCGAAACACTTACCGTACGTGGGGTTATAGCGAATATTAATCATTGTTTGGTAAGAAAATAAAATTGCGTGACCCAGATTGTGACGTATCAATATCATGCATATCCACAAATATCCAAGATGGCTTCTATATATTGTTTTGGAATCTCTTTCAAATTAGACAATAAAAATTTTTGTTGCCATTTCCCTTTCACACCATGCTTTGTTTATATTTAGCTTACGATCAAGTGTTTGTGTTTAGATTTGTCATGGTGAAAAATACCATTATATAATATTGTTCTTTTTACCAAAGTTAATCCGTTAATTTCGAATTCAAATCAGCGGGTTAAATCAAACAACGTTTTGTATTCAATTTCAGACAACTAAATTTCAGCATAAAGATTTCAATTCTATGCTCCATTTCTGCCCATAAAAGGTCCATGAAAATAACATGGATCGGATAATATGTTACATGCTACGAAATATGCACGACAGTGGCTGTAGTTAATATTTGTTCATCATGGAGGCATCAGGAGAATCTATAGGAAATCCCGGAGTTTATACACTATGCGTGACTGATGTAAGTTTTATTATAGTGTTATGTACTCAGGTGTAGAATGTATGGTGATGTTACTCTGAGTGTGTATCCACATCAGGCAGACTGATAAATTTGCCTGACCACGGTGGGATTCGAACCCGTGACTGCTAGTCCAATACTCTACCAACTGAGCTACGAGGTCAAGTCGGTTCGAATGGGCGATATTTCGGAACTAAGTCTAGTTCCAACGATATCTGTATGTTTCTAACATATTGCTGAATTTTCGCCACTCATCACTGTAAAGTTTCTTTGCATGTTTGCACTTTATTACTGTTTAACGATCTTATTTATCTCTAGGTCTTCCAATAATTTTTGAAAAATATTTCCTTGTTTATAAACAAGCTGCTGTGCAATTAGCCTTCGTATTGAAGAGAAATTTGCTTTGAATTTATTTTACGCTGTATAGTAAAGGCTTAAGCTGATACACTTCTGAACAACTATAGCCCCACCCCCTGCATAATTATAGCTCTATCAGTTCTGAATGTTTACTTTAACCGGCAAATTTCTAAGTATAGCTTAAGCAGATATATTAATTGGCCGCTAAAAGGGCACTTGTCATGCTTCTTCGCTCTTGGAGTCAACTCCTATTGCATAATGTTTCAATTGCAGGAAAAGCAGAGAGGAGGTCCGACGCAGGTCATCCAGAAAATGACACAATAAGCACGCAAGGTAGAATTTGATGTTTAAAATAAATTTGCATGATGAAATAAGCACGCAAGGTAGAATTTGATGTTTAATTTCCAATCAAAATGTCCTCCACTGTAAATGTTAGTTTCACACGATAACAACAACACTGCAAGTATAATCTATAGCTATTAGCAATTAAAGAGACTGTTTAAAACTTCTTTGTTTGATAGAAACCGGATTTTTGCATCCGGCAAAGATTCGTTATCGCTTCACTTTTGCGATATAGAAAATACCGCCAGATATGCAGTCTAAATCTGCAACAAGTTTAATTTTTGCTGTACTTGTTTGAGGTGTGATCCTCGTCATTTTCATATGCATGTATTCTACATATTGTATTGTGTCGTTTGACCAGAGCATAGACAACATATTAATACGAACACTCCAGCTAGTGACTTGCATGTCAAACGCTCTAAAGCAATTTAACGCCACTCAGCGTTATTTTTAAAATTTCTTTGAAACATTCTGCTGAACATGCAATTTTCTGAAAACACACGCATGCAAAACAAGTACTTTTCAAAGTTACTACTCTTTGTTAAGGATATAAAACTGTGGAGCTATTTCCGTAAATCTCCTCAATCCAATTGTTTCAGCGCTCGCTTCTCTTTTAAATCATTCCTGCACAAAACCTACACCAACGAGCGGGGATAAATTGTTGCCACCATGCAATTAAGGGGAAATGGCAACAAAAATTTAATTCGTCTCATTTGAAAGAGATTCAAAAACAATATAAAAATTCTATTACAAAATTTTTTATACCTGTTTTACTTCCAGAGACCTAAATCAACGAGCTATCCGCCATCTTGGATTTATTTTTAACCTCATTAACTATGTTTTGGTGACGCCACAACAGGGATAAGTCCTTCAAAGCTACTCCTAAATACCTACCAACAATCAAATATTGTTTGAAACTTTTTCAGTCCGTTTTTGACCACTTTTTAAAAACATCAAAACACGGTCAAAAAAGGCTAAAAAGCAAAGACTAACTTCTTTAAAGGCTTTAGCCTTGCTTTTAAGCTATTTTTGGACACTTTTTGGAAAAGTCAAAAAGTGGCCAAAAATGGCCAAAAAGTAAAGGGGTGTTAGCCTTACTATTTTGACCATTTTTGACCACTTTTTAAAAACGTCAAAGCACGATCAAAAAAGGCTAAAAAGCAAAGACTAACCCCTTTAAAGGCTTTAGCCTTGCTTTTAAGCCATTTTTGGACACTTTTTGGAAAAGTCAAAAATTGGCCAACAATGGCCAAAAAGTAAAGGGGTGTTAGCCTTACCATTTTGACTGTTTTTGACCACTTTTTAAAAAGGTCAAAAAAGGTCAAAAAAGGCTAAAAAGCAAAGACTAACCCCTTTAAAGGCTTTAGCCTTGCTTTTAAGCCATATTTGGACACTTTTTGGAAAAGTCAAAAAGTGGCCAAAAACGGCCATAAAGTAAAGGGGTTATATTAATATTATATTAATAAGCTTTATTTGCATGACCTAATTACAGGTATTGCTAAGCGTAATAGTAAGTATATATAAATGTTAACTGGTGTATAAACTACTTTAACTAACTAAAAACAATATACCGCTATTTACATGTATAATATATCAAATATGAAGGATATATCATCATATGACAGAACAAATATCAAAATTTAAGAAAGGATTAGAAAGAGGATAATATAAAAAAGGGAAAGGAAAGTTATATAATATATTGAAACTTGTGACTTCTGGTTTAAGGGCTGTTGTCTCTGATATAAAAACATTTCGAAATATGTTCCGAAAATAGATCTGTTATCACAGGGTCATTCAAAGACATAAGATCACTTAATAATTTTCTCTTTAATTCATCAGTGATGCTCATTTGGAAATAGTCTTTTAGGATGTTGTGCGAGTTATTTCGCAAATTCTCATATTTTTCACATTCAAATGAAAAATGAAATTCATCTTCAACTGCAATTTTATTGCAGTATTTACATAGTCTCTCCTGTCGAGGTACATCGCTATAACGACCGAACTCAATTTCTAGTTTATGATTACTTATACGAAATTTTGCGAACAGTCTTCTTTGATTAAGGTCTTTAATGATATTTAGATATTCTTCTAAGTTATAGTGGTTTTTAAATGTAGAATAGAATGACAATTTACTAGAGTTTTTAATTTGGTTTTTCCAAAATGTTGTGTAGTTATCTTTAATGGCTTTTACAAAATCGTGTATGTTCGTATCCTGAACAAATTTTTCAATATCTATTGTATCTTTGATATCGGGATGAAACTTTTTAATAATGCTTGCAGCATTAGAATAGAATGAATCTTTGCCGTTTGAGTAAAGTCTTTTTGATAGGTAAAAAGTTTGTTTCGCTATACTTGTAT